ATATATATATATATATATATATATATATGATGCTCCTTTTTGTCTTTTCTTGGGCTGCAAAGAAATAAAGAATTCAAGTTCAACGCTTTTAACAGGTGTAATCTGGCAATGATATTGCTCCATCTTTCTCTCTACTTACTTGATAGAAGCTAGAGATGGAACTGTGCTTATCATCCCATTCTCTGCCATTTCAATGGCATGCTTTATTTCCAATTTCTTGTACAGGGCAACAATGCTTGATTTTGGTTGATTTTCCTTAATTAAAAGTCTTCTTAGGTACTTCTTATCAAATTTTATAAACCTGGGAGAAGCAAGAGCCATTAATTTGAATTAAAATGAATTGAAAGCCCAGCAAATTTCTCTGTGTTTTTATGAGATAAATTATTCTGACTGTAGAATTTTAGAGAATTTTAGTTTCTAACTGAAATGAAGTTTTGAATTTGTGACAGGAATGAGTCAGAATTAAATATTCAGGATTGCTAAAATGAAATCATTCTTAAACTGAGCCAAAATAAATGTTGGTAAACTGAGTAATAATCAGAATGTAAATATTAAATTAAATAATAAATTGTCTTTTTCCACTTGTTCTTTTAGATTATTACTAAATTTGTTACTTACTTATCTCTCCAAAAGTTGTGACCCCAGTGTCCACATACATCTTCAATACCAGCCTTCATATGATCAAAGAACTAGGATGTTAAAAAAAAAAAAGTCATTACATTATTATTCAACAAATGTATATATTACTTCTTTTTGTAAGAAAAAGCTGTCTTGATTTAGTATGCAATAAAATCTCAATACCAAAATAAGCATTAAAACATTAAGAATACTACTTAATGGTTGGGAAACAAAAGAACTATAAAGAATAACTATAAAATGAATAGTTATCTAATACATATGCTTTTAAAATCAACAATAAATTTGTGTGACAAGTACTTCACTAAGAGTCAACACCAACTTGATATAACATAATCAAAGCACTGTTTTCATGTTATAAATGTCACATTATCTCCATTTGAAAAGTAAAGTCCCTCCAATTGAACATGACTCTTGTTAACTAGATGTACATGTCTTTTTCTCAGTTCATGGCACCCTAGTGTCTCAGTAAGTTTTTACAGTGCCCCTAAGGCAAAAGAAATACCTAACTGTTCCATTTGTTAAGTAGTTAGGTCCAAATTTAAAATATCCCACCACATACAATTTGGGAACCATGGTTCTGGGCATTCCCCAAAAGGCACGTAATGCACCCCAAAATGCAAACATACCCGACAGTAGATTTCCTCACTGACTGCTGGTTGCTTCTTATTTGATCTTTTGACATCAAGAAACTCCACCAGTGGACGAATTGTCATTCCCTGTACAGAAGAGCCAGAAACAAGCATGACATTCAGTTCAACCCAAGATGATTTGCCATGATGTCTTTTTCATATTTTGTTCAGCATGTATTTTAATAAATGAATGGTCTGTATACAGCATAAGACTATAAATATTTGAAAGGAAAATACATTTGTGTTATGAAAGGAGATGTGCTTGGCGGAGAGATTTCACATTGTACTGATGGTACTGATTATTTTCACCGAAGAGTATTAGATACAGCTTACAAGGGGACTCAAGTATAAGGAAAGGCACCAGAAAATACTTCAGTAGTCAAGCCAGGAGATGAGTACTTCGCAAACTATAAAATTTATCCAAAATCCAAGAGAAAGAGGGACAGAATTTTGCAATGTTGTACAAGGCGGCATGTTAATACACTGAAAGCAGAATGAAAAACAAAGCAGGCACCAGAAATAAAGCCAAAGAGGCTAGCCTGTTTCATAGCATAAATGGTGTGATTGTCAATAGATATAGCAAGTGATCAAGGAGAAGGCTTTGAGACAAAATCAAAGATATTCAGTCACGGACACATGGAATTTCTGATAGCATAATATGTTATTTTGTTTTTGTGTGACACCTTCAGTATTGTGAGTTGGACGAGTTACATGTTTTCTATGAAAACAATTATTGATCCCATTATACATATAAGAATTGGAAATATTCTTACCTGAATGAACACAGTAAAGAATATCACTACAATAGCGGCAGTAATGAAAAGCTTTTTTCTAGGGAATACAGCAGAAGGAAGCAGGAAAACAAGAGAAAAACATATAGCTCCTCGGAGACCTCCATAGGCGATAATAAACTGGTCTTTAAATGTTATAGGAATTGTCCGAAATACATTTATCACTTGAGTCAGTGCAAAAACTCCTAAAAAAAACACACACACACATACAAAACAAATTAGTATCTGTGATGGAATGGAATTATGAAGGCCAGGCTCAGGGAGAATAACATTTTCTTTCATCTCCTGAGGAGCGTGGGAAATATAAGAGGACGAGGCTGGCACCTCCCTGAGGAATTCACAATGTTGTGGCTGGCATTACTTGGGGGCTGGGGTTTC